TGATGTAAACCGTGTAATTTATTTCGACCAAATCTGTAAATTGTCATCGATGACTGAAATGTAATTCAAATGTTCATTGGGTGTACTGTACATTTCATTCTGAGATCTGAGAATGACATAATAGTTCATAATAGTGCTTATTTAAAGTCTACAGTAGCCTATGTTCAGTGTGAACTGAACCTAGTTTAATAGTCACAGTGCAGTCTTGACAAAGGAAATCAGCATAAATGTAATTATTTTGTTATCTAAGTAAATATAGCAATAATTGAGAGAATATGTTCTGTGTGATTGCAACTAATAAAGACAGAAAATGTCAATCTTTCTTTGTCATTGAAAAACGTTTAGACTGTACCTGCTTGTATAAAATGGAAAATACAAGCGTTTACAGCACTTCCTCTAGTTCCAGTGACTAGTGGTTTCCAGTGCAGACACAGAGGCCACTGAGAGCACTGATGTGGTGGCTGGTCCGATGGTGCGCAGTTGATTGTACCAGTCATCAGGCTGTCTGGTGGCTTGAGATGGAGCAGGGCCGGAGGAGCAGGAGAAATGACTGCTGGAGGACGGGTGGGGTGGGTATGCTCCAGGGGGCAGCACTGAGGAGAATCGGGGGATGTGCTGCAGTGAATGAGGACACTGGTACTGCCAGCCCATGGCGGAGGAAGACACACACATGCTGCTGAAGAGAGGACCTCGTCCTGGCATCATTCCTACCGGCAGCACTTTGTGAGAGATACGATCCTGCTTCCCCTGCTTCCCCTGCTTCCCCTGCTTGGCACGCCGGTTCTGAAACCATACCTGTAGCGAGCGAAAGGCCGTAAGATACAGTAATCAGACAAGGGAGTCAAGGTTTGGCTGCTTAATATGGAAAGTTTCCAAGTTTCCAATGGCACTTTTCCACTGCATGGTATGGTTCGGTACGGTTCACTTTTGGGGGGGTTTCCACTGGATACAGTACCTGGTACCTGGTACTTTTTTTAGTACCACCTCGGTAAGTAATAAGCAAAGTAATTTGTGTGGTACAGCCAATTAGAACATACTGAATGTGAGAATATTGAACATTTTCAGATTCACAAAAAAATGTTTACCAATAAAATTCTTCATAACTGCTATTTTCTTCATATTTTCTTAAGAGTATTCAGTATTTTTTATTCTCGAACATTTCTAAATAATGTTCATTTTTTTTCTTCTTAAGACTGTGTTAAAGACAAAACGTAATTAAACAAAATAATTTGAATTGCTAAAAAAAATTGTAAATGAAAAAGTCAAAAATCATCATAAATAACCTCTTAAAAGTTAGGATAACCTCCAACTTGTCTTAAATCAATAAAAAAAGAAAGAAAGTAAGAAAGAAAGATGTTTCATTAATTTATTAGGTTGTTTCACTTATTGAGCATTACAACATAACACTAGCAACATAGGCCTATACAGTATATATATATATATATATATATATATATATATATATATATATATATATATATATATATATAATTATTACTCTGTAAAAAAATATTGCTTGAAATTGTAAATAAAACAAAGGTTTTCTTTCTACTTCCAAATTTCATGTTTAATTCGATGTGTTACCGATTCTTTGTCATTATTTGTAAACATTTACTAGTAATTTCTGAATTTTTGTTTCATAATTTTTTTTAAAGTGTAAATCAACTCAACTAGGGATCTCCTTTTTAATTGTATTGTTAATTGCGTAATTCCAAAACCAAAAATATAACTATAATAATAATAATAATAATAATATTTGAAGAAAAATACTGTTTTTTAAAAAATAAAATATTTAAACATTTTAGAATTTTTCAGAAGTTCCACTTAGCAACATCTTACGATTTTCTAAAGAATTTATCTCAAGAAATGTCTTAACTTATTTCTTAAGAAGATTTTCGTGAATCTATCCACAAAAATTTGGACAAATGTAGCAAGCATTATGAAGCAATGCTATCGCTCAATTCTAGTCACTGCTGGGTTTCCATTCACATATTTTGCTGTGTCACTGTAAATCGTTATCAGTGTGAACAATCCGAACATCCCTGGTTAGTGTAACTTAAACCTGCATGGGACCATTTAATTCAGCTGCATGTAACTGTATCAGTTCAACAGGTTAATTAGCATGTTAGCAAACAGGTGAGTTACCTGTATGCGAGCCTCGTTGAGTTTGGTGGCTCTCGCGAGCTCTTCTCTGTAGTAGATATCAGGATAGTGGTTCCGTCTGAAAGCTAACTCCAGCTTTTCCAGCTGCTCATTGCTGAAGTTAGTGCGGTGTCTCCTGCGGGATGGTGAAGGGTACGGTCTCACTCGTCCTCGGCCGCCCCGGACGCTCTCAGATGTCCCAGAATCTTTTCTTGAATGATTTTGAACATCTGCATCCAATAAGGTGAAACTCCAAGAGTTGAATTCATTATGAGAAGACCTTTTTGTCACAAACTGAAAGAGTCTTGACTCAGGTCTCTCTCTCTCTAGTTACAAGTAATTTCCTATTGACAGTGAGAGTTTCATCAACCACTGACACCTCTGAGATGTTGGATTTGTAGGTACACATCTCTCAAATAATGTTCCCTGAAGACGGAGGATTTAAAAGCCTTAGTGCTTCCAAACAAACGTCCAGGAACTCAAAAGACAGCCGGCTTTGCCACCTAAACTCAATATCGTGAGAGAGAGGCATGCCAGGGCCCTGAGGATTACTCTCAGTTTAGGCAAACAATGGCCACAAAAAGTCACTAATTTGTCAAATTGTGGGACTCTTGGTTTCCAGGTCCTATTTACAACATTAGGGTAAAGAGAGTGCATGAAACCTACCTTAGTTTGGATTTTTGAATGTCATACTGCGCAGTGTTATTTTTGTATCACTTATATACTATTATAATATAACGTAGACTATATATATATATATATATATATATATATATATATATATAGGTTTATATATTATAGTTTATAGTTTTAGTATTTTTTTGTGTTTTAGATGTATTTTATGTCAATATAGGTTTTTTATTTATTAAGTTTTAGTTTTTATTTGATTTAGTTTTAATTAGTTTTTTTATTACTTAAACTAATAACTTAAACTCATTTAATTTCAGCTTCTTGCCAAAGCAACATTTCTCATTTCCATTTGTATACATTTTATTTTATTTCAGTTAATGTTTATTTTATTTCAAGTAATATATATATATATACATATATATATGTATATATATATATATATATAGATAGATAGATAGATAGATAGATAGATAGATAGATAGATAGATATCTTAATCCCTCTATTTCACCTTTTCTAATTTAAGATGTTCAAAACAGCTTATATTTTATTTTTAGCATTACCATTTTTGAAAATTGCCATTGCAGTATGATATAATTTTTGTGATGCTCCTCATTTGTAAGCTGCTTTGGTTAAAAGCATCTGCTAAATGACTGAACTGTAAATATTTTGTATCAGTATTTCAAATGCAATATTCTTACCTGCACTTGAGCTAACCGTGACCTCAGACTGATTTTCAGAGAACTGTTGCTGAGGTTTGTCTGCGTCCATTTCAAACTCTCTCTGGTCTGCAGGCAGGATTCCGGTTTGACCTCCGTCCTAACCGAACTCTGCTTTTTCACCGCTATCTAGTGTGACATCATAGAGCAGTCACACCTCTCACCCAACTGCTCATTGTGATGCTGAAGCCCACAGTAACATGTACCTGTTACTGTCAGCATGAATTGTAAAATAAAACTGTCATTTATTTAGTACTGTTGACATAATACCGGCAAGTATTTGTGAGTAAAAACGTTCCTAATACATCTGGGTCTCAGTGGTGCAGTGACAATTTGAATAATAATATTGGAATGCTGGAATATTGGACTTTTAAATCTGAGATGAAAATTGTATTTGACTATTTTCACCACCAGAGGGAGAGTAAACAAAAGAAATAGACACAAGAGGAAACGGTCTCTGGATCTCATGTGAGCACAAAAGCAATACAAAGCAAACTAGTATTTCATTTTCAACAATAAATATTGAATTATATTTGGGATCTGAGACCATAGCATATTTTGATTACTTCATGTTTTGAACATGTTTTGTCATCATCACACATTTTTGACAAGTGATTAAAATAAAAGATTAGTCCACATAGCAGCATATTCTGATTAAAGGATATAATCAGAATAATCAGGAATCAGGAATAGTTCACCCCAAAAAACATGCTGAAAATGTACTCACCCTCAAGCCATTCAAGATGTGGATGAGTTTGTTTCTTCATCAGAACATTTTTGGAAAAATTTAGCATTACATAACTTGCTTATCATCCTCTGCAGTGAATGGGTGCTGTCAGAATGTTTCTCATAAACACGCAGCTTTTCACTTCCCATGTTGTTAACTGATGGTCTGGAGTCGTGTGTTATTACATTATTTTAAATGAGTCTACCCCCCAAGATTACTGTTATAAACACGAGCTGCATCCAAAAGGTAAAGGGGAAGGTGTTGCTACAATTTATAGTAATATTTTCAGTATTTCTCAGAAGTCTGGTTTCAAGTATGATTCATTTGAAGTAATGGTGCTTCATATACTGTAACATTATCCAGAGAAACAAGTGCTAACGATAAATCCCCTGTGACGTTTGTGCTGGCTACTGTATACAGGCCACCAGGGCACCATACAGACTTTATCAAAGAATTTGCTGATTTTCTATCCGAGTTAGTGCTGGCTGCAGATGAAGTCTTAATTATTGGTGATTTTAATATCCATGTTGATAATGAACTCCATTGGGGTTAGACAACACGTGTCAGGGCCTACTCAATGTCGTTCTTTAGATTAAATACTGTCACGTGGAATTGATGTTAATGGCGTTGAAATTCTGCAGCAGAGTGATGATATCTCGGATCATTATCTAGTCTCGTGTGTATTCCTTATAGCTAAAGCTGCAAATTCAACTCCTTGTTACAAATATGGTACAACCATCACTTCTACCACAAAAGACTGCTTTGTAAATAATTTTCCAATAGATCAGAAAAACTTTATGGTGTAACAGAAACTATTGACACTCTCTCTTTTCTAAGACTTTAAACACGGTCGCTCCTTTACGCTTAAAGAAGAAGGAAAACTGTCCGAAACCGTGATATAAGGAGCACACTCCCGCCCTAAAGAGAGCTGCCTGAATGGAACGCAGCTGGAAGAAAACAAAACTAGAGGTATTTCATATTGCATGGCGGGAAAGTACTTCTACTTACAGAAAAGCTCTAAAAACTGCTAGATCTACTTTCTTTTCACAACCCCAGGCATTTATTCAATACAGTGGCTAAATTAAAGAAAAATAAAGCATCAACAGACGCAGACATTTCCCAACAGCACAGTAGTAATGACTTTATGAACTTCTTTACTTCCAAGATCAGCCGTCAGCCACAGTATCGCATCAGATGCACTATAGATCCGCTGAGGAATAATTCCACTCATTCTCTGCTATAGGACAGGAAGAATTGTATAAACCTGTCAAATCATCAAAACCTACAACATGTATGTTAGACCATATTCCATCTAAGCTACTAAAAGAGGTGCTTCCAGAAGTCATAGATCCTCTTCTGAATATTATTAATTTGTCAATGTCATTCCGATATGTCCCCAAAACCTTCAAATTGGCTGTTATTAAGCCTCTCATTAAAAAAAACACAACTTGATCCTAGAGAATTAGTTAATTACAGACCAATCTCCTTTTCTGTCAAAAATTCTAGAAAAGGCAGTATCTTATCAGCTATGTTCCTTCTTATAGATATTTAGAGGACTTCCAGTCAGGATTTAGACCGTATCATAGTACTGAGACTGCTCTTATCAGAGTTACAAATGACCTGCTCTTATCATCCGTTCGTGGTTGTATTTCTATATTAGTGCTACTGGATCTTAGCGCTACATTTGACACTATCAACTACAACATTCTTTTGAGTAGACTACAAAATGATGTTGGCATTAGTGGAATTCCATTGTCATGGTTCAAATATTACTTATCTGACCATCATCAGTTCATAGCAGTGATCATATCGATCACAAGTACAGTATGGAGTGCCACAAGGCTCAGTACTAGGACCGTTGCTTTTCACACTTTACATGTTACCCTTGGGAGGTATCATCAAGAAACATGGTGTTAGTTTTCGCTGTTATGCTGATGATACTCAGCTCTATATTTCTTTGCGGCCCAACAGAACTATAACGGAATGCATAGTTGATATAAAAAACTGGATGACTAGTAATTTCCTACTGTTAAATTCTGAAAAAGTTTTAATTATTGGACCAAAAACCTCTTCATGTAATAGACTAAATCACTGTCTAACACTTGATGGCTGCTCTGTTAATTCTTTGTCATCAGTTAGGAACCTAAGGGTGCTAATTGATAGCAACCATGCATTTGTAGCATTTGTAAAACCTCAATTTTTGTATCTTAAAAATATATCTAAATTACAACCTATGCTCTCAATGTCAAATGCAGAAACGTTACTTCATGTGTTCATGGCCTCAAGGTTAGATTTTTGTAATGATTTATTGGGTGGTTGCTCTGCACACTTTATGAACAAACTCCAAAATGCAGCAGCTAGAGTTCTTACTAGAACCAGGAAGTACTACCATATTAGCCCGTCTCTGTCAACCCTGCACTGGCTCCCTATAGTTTTTATCAGCTGTTTGGACTCTCATTCTGACCATCAATCTACTTTTCTCGAAAAGCTATGTTTCTCTAAAAAGTATGTTTCTGCATGAATTTCTGCATGAAAATACATATTCACACAAATTCACCACGTTTGGCAAAATATAAAATAGTTTTGAATGTGTTCCAAAATACAGTTTTTCTTCTTTTTAACTAAACATTTAATCAGACTCTAAAAAGTATGTTTCTGCATGAAAATACATATTCACACAAATTCACCACGTTTGGCAAAATATAAAATAGTTTTGAATGTGTTCCAAAATACAGTTTTTCTTCTTTTTAACTAAACATTTAATCAGACTATTTGTTTGTCAAGCATGAATAATCGGATTGGTTCTGCAAGACCAGACTGAAGAGCTCTGGCAGACGGGATAAAAGTCAGTCAGGCCTCAGAATCAGAGACATGGCAAGTATGAGTGTCATCTTTGCCAAGGTGGGTGACTTAGTGTTCCTGAGAGAGTCTAGTCAACCAGACCCGGACTGCCAGGTTATACCTGTTCTTTTCCACAGCTGAAACATGATTTATTCAAGAAGAAAATAAAGTGAGCTGCATTCACATGCTATTCACTCACCTTAACATAAAACCTTGACATAATGAACCTTTTGCTCAGAGATTGCTGAGGTAATGATGGCTGAATATAGACACACCTGTCCTGCAGAGAACCAGCAGATCCTACTCAAGATCCGTCGGTCTATCTATCTATCTCTCTATTGTAACGGGTTGAAGAATCACACGATAAGTAATCTCAACCAGGTGCTCCTCGCTTGTTTCCAGGGCGACGCGGATGAAGCTTCGGGAGGCTTATCACACTCCCCTCCCCCCCTCCCCCAAAAAGCGTCGTCCTGGTGCTGGAGCGCGAGGAACCATTGGGTCACCCTGGCATTGGTATCTTTGGCGCGGGCCATCCACTGAAGGGGTGCGTGGTCCGTGACCAGGGTGTCCTCCACTGCTGGTGTCCATTGTACCTTCTCTGGCTGCCCCTTCCTGGGCAAGTCTGTCAGGGAGGCGGCTAAAGAGGAGAAGTTGGGGATGAAACAGCGATAATACCCCGCCAACCCTAAAAAGGCTCGTACCTGGGTCTTGGTCTCGGGTCTCGGAGCAGAGCGTACCGCCTCCACCTTCTTCTCCTGCGGCCGAATGAGACCCCCGTCCCATATGGAAACCCAGGTACTTCGCCTCGGAGAGGGCAAGGTTGCATTTGCGAGGGTTGACGGGGAGTACAGCCCTCCAGAGCTCTGAGAGCACCCTCCGTAACCAGTCCAGGTGGTCTTCCCATGCCTCGGAGTGGATCACAACGTTGTCCAGATAGGCCGTGGTGTAGGCCTGATGGGGCCGCAACAGGATGTCCATCATCTGGTGGAACGTGGCGGGTGCCCCGTGGAGGCCAAAAGGAAGGGTTCGGTACTGCCAGTGGCCACTAGGGGTAGAGAAAGCAGTCTTAGGTTTGGCATTCTCAGAGAGGGGTACCTGCCAGTAGCATTTGGTGAGGTCCAACCAGGTGCTGCAGCTCCCTCTTCTGGGCAGCCGAGAGGTGGGGGTTGACGTCAACAACCACGGAATCAGAGATGGCGAGGGCTGCGAGCTGATCTCTAGTCCGCATCCACTTCTTCAGGAGGTTAATGTGGTAGAGCTGCTCGGCTCTCCTCCTTCCTGGCTGACGCACCCGGTACGTCACCGGCCCAATCTTCTCCAGCCCTATATAGGGACCCTGCCAGGTGGCCAGGAATTTGCAGGCCGCATTGGGGACTAGGACCATGACTCGGTCTCCGGGCTGGAACTCCCGTGGCCGGGCTGCCCGGTTATAGTGGCGCTGTTGGGCCTGTTGCGCCTTTGTCAGGTGTGACCCGGTCGATCCT